AGCATCTACACAAATTATTGTACCAGAATTTCTTTGTTATGGCTTCACCACACCACGAAGTGGTGTGGTGAAACCATATTGCTTTTTCTGATGTTTCTTCTCCTTCTCCTTCTTCTTCTTCTTCTCCTGCCATATCTTTAAATGGATTCAGCTTCTTCATTTTGTGGCCTAAGGTCCTGAAATTTGGTATGGAGGTACAGTGGGCAAATACCCCTAGGCGTTTTTTAAATTTTTGTGATACAGGCTTTTAGAATGGTTTTATTTGAGTTTTTTGGCTGTGTTATAGCAAATGTATTACTGTGTTAGTGTGCCGTGTTTACCACGTCTGGGCATGAGTCATCACAATGGAATGCAGGGCATCAACCCAATAGGCATGCAGCGTTTCCTCTATACTCTTGCTGATTGGCTGTTGGGGATTTAACTTTGATTAACACCTGCACAGAGCATTTCCACCTGCACAGAGCATTTCTTGCTGATTGGCTGTTGGGATTTAACTTGATTAACACCTGCACAGAGCATTTCCATACTGACAGTATGTCTTTATTCAAGTGTTTTGGTAGGTATTTCAAGCTTTTCTGCTCCAGCATTGGAATGCGGGGCATGAACGTTTTTTTTTATTTATTTTGAAAATCAACAGTTTGCATTATGCAATTAAAAATCCTAACCAATAAAGTATATACTATGCAACTGTTGTTTTGGTTGTATGTTACTTCATATTATAGTTATATCAATGTAAATCATTGTTACCCTCCATGTAAATGGGGGGTATTGTTTTTACTCCGTTTCATGTTTGGTCTGATATCTGAAGATCGGTGAGAAGGAACTGTATGATATTTGGCAGATTGATGGATGGGGCCTTGGAGATTGTGTAGGTTGACTTTGAGCACCTGGTGATTGACCTTGGTACTGCAGTTTAATTTTTTTATTCTATTGTTGGCACGTTATGGTCTGTGTGTGCGATGCTAAGGTAGCATGTAGTTGTGGTTACAATGGTTTACTGATGTAAATTTGGGCCCCCTAGCTGTTTGCTTTGAACCGGAATTGCTATCTCAATGTCAGATTGTTTGCGTTGAATGATCTCAGAACCCGGTGGATGGTTGGCGATCATTTTTGGTATGTGGGTAGACGCTGGTTGTCTTTGCGTTTTAGCGTGCATTAGCAGGTTGTGGTAGATTTGGATTGCTTATTTAAAAGGATTTTCACATTTTCACCCCTATTTCATAATAGGATGGTCTGTTTGACCCCAAATTGGTACAGAGTGTTTTTGTTTATACCTCCAGCTGGCAGGTCAGGCCAATCTATTTTTATCTCTAGACCAGTGTCTGCAGGAAATATATCTTATCTTTAATCGGTCATTCAGCAGGGAACTGGGTCATCTGTGAAGTGCCACAACAAAGTTCTTAAAGGATAGACATCTATAGACATCTATCATTCTGCTGATAAAAACAAAGTTTGACTCATAATATCTCTATTATGATACACCAAAAGATTACAAAATAACAAGCTATTTCATGGAGGGACGATGTCTACGACTTCTCCTTGTTTTCCCTTGTGTTTCTCATTCTTTCCCTGCCATGTCGTAAAATGTGGTGAACCCATCGCTGTATTTGCTCCAAAGCAAATATTGGCCTTTCTAGTCCATATCCGATTCGCTACAAAAAACGACACCGTATGTAAATATATTAATAGCTGACACATCTCCTGAAGCATAGACTGTAATATAATACTCTCCTCGATAAAGATTGGTAGCATTGAAACTGAGTAAAGTTAGTATAGCTATGGATTAACTGTTAGAGTTATTGTATTTAAGCATAGTTCGTGTATCTACCCTTGTTGTTTATTCTCTGCCTACATTAGCTAATGGACACTCCTCTGGCCAATGCTGCCTTGCCACCGTATGATCTGCTTGGAGATTACTACATTGTACCAGTTACAGTTGTTGAATAATAAAGTTGATGTTATCATGAAAGTTTATCTGTGTTGGTAGTTACATGTTTAAAGTTAAAACTTTCGATCCAACATAAAACGTTCTCTCACCTGAGCTTTCGACCAGTCACTCCGGTCTTCCTCAGTAGACTGACCCAGTGTTGACGTCACACTTAAAAGAAGCCACGTGACAAGCCTCACTGGGTCAGTCTACTGAGGAAGACCAGAGTCTTTTTTTTTTTTTGATTTGCCAAAACAAAAAAGCGATTATGGTTCTGAATAAACATGTCAATAATTGGGAGCACACTGAGACTGGTCTGCATTGAATCTTGGTAACGTACACATGGGCACATCGGGACTCCACCTCTGTCTACTGTGGTATTGTCCAAAACTTTCCTAAACTTTGCATCACATTAAAAAGTTTTGAATAGGGTCCTGCCCATTCGTCTCAGGGGAGGTCACGAGAGGCTGAAACTTGAAGCTTTCTCCTGACTTGGAAAAGGACATTTCTGGTCGACATGGTCCAACTTTGTTGGCTTTTCTAACTATACTGCGCTCAGTCTACAATTCGCAATCAATAGTTTTTAATGAATGCGCTTAATTAGGCTAGAGACAAGCGCAATCGATGCTTTGTGACGTTTAAACTGTGATGACGTAGATGGTCACTAGAGGCGGGGTCACCAGTGGCGACGCACGGATGGAGACTTACCCAGATGCCCCCGTACAGGTGCCAACAATCATTAAAACCCGATAATAGCTTGTTTCCGAATGTCTGCTTTGATACCTAAAAATACTAGTACATACAAACAGCAACATCGCACAACTTTCATCGATATATCGAGGATCATCAATTGTATATTGACGTTACACCAAAAGTAATTCTTTGCGTACCCCCTAAAATCGAAAAATGGTTCAATCCCAATTCAAGATGGCGTCCGAGACGTCCAAAATTTCCGGGTCCCCTTCCCAAGGCCACGTTTCGTCAGGTTTAAACCCTGTCGCGGTGAACAGCGTGACCTACCTCGGCACGATCGTGGTCTATCTTCTGGCGTTCTTTCTCCGTGAGTTCCCCAAGCCGGTCCCCTTCCCCGCGGCCGGCTGTCTTGTTCCTTCCGACGGCGACTTTGGAGAGTGGACCCCGGCTGGCTACGTGCTCATGGCGCTGTGGTGCTTCCACTTCATGAGGCGGTTTGTCGAAGTCCTGTTCGTCCACGAGTACAAGAGGAAGATGAGTTACGTGGAGAGTGTCGGAGCGCCGGTGTACTACTGGTTGTTCGGCTTCTGGACCGGGCTGTCCCTGCGACCTGACCTGGGCTATGTCAACACCTACCTTTCCATGTTTGTTATCGGCTGTTTAATGTTTTTCGTCGGAGAGGTGAGCGAATGATTAGTACACTTATTCTATGGGTCAGAACCCCAGATTTTACATATTGTGTTGTATGAATATTTTGTAGGTTTTTACGGTGTTGCCAATGCCATGATCGCCACAGATTTCCATTTAATCATTAGATTCAGTGGCTACATTGAGGATCTAAAGCCTTTGAATGATTTACAGAGATGTCTTGTTTGCCTTGCAACAGTCGTCACGTCCTTTACTAGGCAGTAAAACTTAGCTTAGTCAGGTGCGTTTTAATGTACAAAATAAACAACCGGTTAATGTATAATCTGTATGCGTCGAGCTTTCTTGACTGAGCGCATTTTACATGTAGTATTGTTTTCATCAATCCAACCAACCTTTCCTCGTATTAGTAAACCCCTAGCTTTATTCTGTTTCAATCTTTTGAAAGAATGAGTTGTTTCTGATTTTAGGAAATAGGAATCACTACAGAAAAAAAGCATTCTCGATCTCATGACTGGGGTTGCGTCAACTTTGGGGTCATTGACACTTCAAGTACTACCCTTGTTATAGTTTTGAAGATTATTAACTAACTTTATAAGCTGAAGGCGTCCATAGCTCCCTACGATACTTCCGTAATTTTCGACAAACAACCGATAGCAACAACGTTAACTGAACGCCAGAATCGTTTAGGATAGACGGTACTATTACAGTTGGCCATAGAAACCTATGGTTAAATACACTGAAACAGGTCGTCATGAAAGTACTTTCTCACATTTCAATCTTCGAAATTCTTCTGCACCAGAGAGCCACAAGGGTCTGCTTCTCAAATATAGAAAGAAAACAGGGGGTTGACCAGCTCAAACTCTTACAATAGCTAACAATTGCATGCAACAGGACAAAAAAACTACTTTTGACCTAAATTTCTCATGTATCCATCCGCTCTGGGCAGGCAAGACCTCATCCGACTCAGGTCTCTTGTTAAATTATGCCCACTAAAATGCTGAAATAAATGAAATTTGACCAAAGTAGATTTCTGTTCCTTCTAGCCCAATAGTCTCCAAACTGGACAAAAATTTTCAAAAGAAAAAATATTTTCAGAGATATTAACTAGGGATTACAATCAGCCTATACTAGTACTACGCAACGCAATAGTGACGTTTACACCCTTTACACCACACAGGTTGGCAACGGCGTGTCCCATCTCCAACTACGGAGTCTGCGCAGCAACAAGAACACCCACCTGCTGTACCAGACAAAGTCGCAGCACGTCGTTCCTAACGGGTTGATGTTCGAGCTGGTCTCCTGTCCGCACTACTTCTTCGAGATCGTCTCTTGGTTGGGTTTTTCTCTGGCCACGTGGGCCCTGTCCGTTGTGGTGTTTCTAGCCGCTACCGTGCTGACTCTCTGTATCTACGGCCATAAGAAGCATCAGGCTTACCGTACGGAGTTCGACGGTAGGGAGGGGAGGGAGCTGTATCCACCGAACAGAAAGGCTCTCATTCCGTTTGTGTTTTAAACTTTAACTGGTTCTGCTTACCGAAGGAAAACATGTTTTTGCTCTGTTTCCTCTTCTTCTTCTTCTCCAAACAAATAAGGTCAATGATCTGAACCAGACGTCTGTTACCGTGGTAACTAGTGTTGGGTTACATAATGTTGCAATTTTATAGCAGGAGGGATTTAGACTCCTGTCTGAGCATATATATGAATGTGTTTGTGTAAGAATTAACATAGCAGACCATATGCGAAGATAAACATTATGCATTTGCTTTGCAAATGTCACCTTTCTAGTTATATAGTAATCTTGGTTTGTAATGTAAGAAATTGTGGAAAATTTCGTTGCCTTCCTTAGCGTTAGTCCTTTTGATAAGTGGATGGGGTTGGGCATGGAAACCTTTTTTTATTACCCACGTTAATCTTATTTTATTTACGTACGGCCTTCTTTGTTCTGTAGGTTCTACGTTCTATGTCACTCATTTTCCTTCCCTTTCGCTCCTTTTTGTTTTCACTCCTTTTTACTCCTTTCGCTTCTTTTTGCGTCATTTCACTCCTTTTCATTTCTTTTCGCTCATTTTCGCATTTTCTGTTCACCCCTCACTTTGCCGTACTGTGCGTTAGGCTTGATAATATTGACAACAATTCATACTCCAAAACAAGGTTTCAATCATAATTGTGAGAGTATATTTGGATGAACATGTATATACATGTATAAAACTAACACAAATTTTTATTGATGGTAGCAAGGACTATTGAATCTGTACAATAAGAAACTACCCATGGCATGACCATGTACATGAACCCATGTCTTATTTTGAATGAATGACGACCTTTATTGCACATTTTTGCCACACTGGGCTAAGTATAGGTCAAAACAGATACATACAAAATAAAACTAGCTATCCTTAGATAAATTCAACTTCTCGCTTTTCAGTTATAGTAGAGATAAAGGAACAGATATGTTTTTCGATGGAAGGTTTGTCTAGTTGCATGTTATTACTAAGGCCATGTTGATTTGATTATATGGATGACATCCGCGCGCACATGAAAAAAAGTTTTCAACTATACTGTAAATCGTACGACAATTGCAAAATAAGAAAATATATACCGTAAGTTGCAAAAAAAATCATACCATCATACCATACTTTGTGTCATTTGTTCAACCTTCTTGACAACGTAGATTTCATGTTGAAAGCAACTTTTTTTGGGGCCAAACTTTTTTTATTCGCACGCTCGCATCAGGTTTGGGATTCCCAGAGAATGTCATCCATGTAATCAAATCAACTTGGCCTAACAGCTAAGACTTTGTTGTTGGATACTCTGGAAGACGAAGAGAGCGTCTCTCCAGTCTAACAGTCCCAGCACCACCGCCATGTGCCACCACTGGTGCCCGTGTCCCACGTAGTCAAACCGACCTGAGGATCGACAAACAAGCACGGTGTTTAAAAAAACAATGCTTGCGAAGTTCGGCTGTATTTGTCTGTGTTTTTAATATTTTACCAAAGTGTTGTTGTTGTTTTTCATATAACATGTCTTTTGCTACATTACAACGTATTCCTGGTTCTGGCATACTAAATGACAGTATTAAAACATAAGCTCTTTAATTTAAAAATGAAGATTGTTGCAAGTATTATAGGTACAGAAAAACATATATCTGTAATGTATCTGCTTAATTGTAATATGATGTAATTAAGATTTTAATCAATGTTCACATTTTAATTTATATGTGTGTTAACTCCTGTTTGTTGCATTTGTAATTTTGTAACCAGACCTCTAGGCTGCTAGCAGGCTCTGGGATTCATTTATTTCCTCAATAAACCCGCCTATATAAACATGACTAGATATGGCCGTGTTGACTCCATTACTGTTCCTGCGAACTACAACGAAGCCTCGTCTCTGATTGGTCATATTAGTCACGTGATCGAAAAGAGGTAACCAATCACAATGAGGTAGAACAACGTGTTACGTACCTGGGAACCAGACTTGTGGAATGTTTTTGATATGAAACAACACGAACGCTGCAATGTAGATGCCACCATTCCTGAGGCATCTGAAGGGATAGATCTGTAAGATGCAAAATGAGAAATTTGAAGGATGACACATTTGCGAATCAGTAAAGATCCAGCTTTAATGTTTTAATTAAAGAAAGTTAAGCTTTATGTCTTTAGACTTTGTACTGTCGCTCACTCATGTTTCTTTATTATGTCTACCGGAAAACTTTTTGTTTTTCCTCAGCTTTTTCCTCTTCTTCTCCAAACAAATAAGGTCGTTGACCTGAACCAGACGTCTATCACCATGGTAACTGGTGTTGGGTTACATCATGTTGCAAGTGCCATGCAGAACTGAGTTCAAGAGGGGCTGCATGGTCACCATATATATAAATGTGTTTGGGTAAGAATAAACAAAGCTTGTTGTAAGCTGGGCCATGTGAAGGTAAACATGCATTTGCTTTGCAAATGTTATATCTAGTAGATTTTGTTCCACAGTATCTATGCCTGTACCTTTTCTAGTATTGTAAATAATATTGTGTGCGTTAAGGCTATTTACAAATTTATCTACTGTATCATTAAGTTTTCGTCAACACAAAATTAGTTTTGTTTATTTAGGCCACACCGACTTAAGTTTATGGATGACATCCGCGCGCGCATTGATTTTCGCCTGTCCTAAAAAAAGATAACGTCCTCCGAGGCTCTGGCCTGGCTCTAGGCCTGGGTAGTTCATGGTAGTTAGCGACATGTTTTATGAATCAGCACTGTCGTATACATGTACGTGCAGTGCCGATTCTTAAACTCCGCAAAGAGCCAGCATGTCGTATACGTCGCTATGTACTGACGCAAATTCACAATACCAGTTTTGTATTCCTGTGGTTTAGTAGCATTTTATTTTTGGCAGGAATTTTTTTTATTCGCCCGCGCGCACTAGTTTGGGGGCCTTCGTAGGATGTCATCCATAAAATTAAGTCGGTGTGGCCATATGACCAAGTACATTACCGAGCCCTTACCCATGCCGTGTCACTCGCCCACCCGCCGTGGTAGAGGTAAGACTGCGCGATGAAGACAGAACAGACCAGCGCCAGGGGAGGACCAATGCCGACCAGCCTGTTCTCCGGCCGGACCCAGTGGAACCGGTACTTGGGGTGGAGGAACATGGCTGCGTACGGGACCAACATGGCCACGCACACGCACTGGTACAACATCTGCCAAAACTGCAGGCATAGAAAAAGAACGTTTTTTTCCAAAAGTTCAGAGCTTCTTTTCCCCCCACATCCCCACCTTTTGTGAGTGTTTTCTTTACGTAATCTTGGAGGTATACCCTGGTAGCCTGGATCAATTTATACATGTATGCAGTAGATTTGCATAAATTTGCATATGCTTAATCATGACCTTGATCTTGACCTTTGCATAAGTACATAAATCGATCCAGACGACCAAGGTATACTTCCAACCTCTCTACTCTCTACTACTTCTACTACTACTACTACTACTACTACTACTACTACTACTACTACTACTACAACTACCACTCTGACTACTACTACTTCTTCTACAGCTACTACTACAGCTACTACTACTACTACTACTACTACTACTACTACTACTTCTACTACTACTTCTACTGCAGCTACTACTACAACTACTACTACTTCTACTACTACAACTACAACTACTTGTACTACTACTACTACTACTACTGCTGCTACTACTACTACTACTACTACTGCTGCTACTACTACTACTTACCACAGAACACTTGAAGCAGTACGCCACGAAGGTGGACAGCACCGCCAGGATGGTGACGACAATGCCGAACAGATCCAACCCGAGCCCGAGGGTGAAGACGGACCGGCATCGGTGCGGGGTGAAGATGTGGTACGTGGTTGAGGACAGCAGTAACATCTACAAAAGAAGGAGGGCGTCAGAATAGGTACTAAGTCTTCTATCAGCTGAATGCCTACCTCTTAAATTTGTGTCCTCGCAATGCCATGTATTCATGGTATGGCTTGGTGACGCGTTCGCGTATTTAACCTGTCTTTTGTATATACTCTAAATGGTGATGATATACTCTATCTCTTGTTGATTTTTGGACTCTACATGAAGGATATTTTGTGCGTATTACATTCAAGACGTATCGAGGACGTACAACAGGAACATCGAAAATTTTATAAATCCATATACAGAATCAGTTTTATCCTCAATATAGATAGCGTCGGTGTAGCCTTGGTGTCTTGTAGTAGAGAGTTTCAAGCTACCGGCCCAGAATATCATTTGTAGCTCCTTTGAATTCGAAGTAACAAACATGTATACAATCAATTTTAGTTAAAAGTTAGGAAGGTGACCTTGCGAAGCAAATACATAATGTTATGGTCTGCTATGTTAATTCTCACTCAAACACATTCATATATATGGTCAGACAGAAGTCTAAATCCCTCCTGCTATAAAATTGCAACATGATGTAACCCAACACTAGTTACCATGGTGACAGACATCTGGTTCAGGTCATTGACCTTATTAGAGAAAAATAAGAAGAGGAAACAGAGCGGTAAACAAAGAAGGTCTTAAATGCTGACCTGACAGCTGGTGAAGTATATTGCCGAGATGACGTAATCCATGTCGTCGCCATGGCGACCGGGTATGGTCACGTGATGGTCGTACAGTCCGAGGATGAGGAAGGCCACAGCGGGAACCACGTGTGTCAGGACGTTACCTGTCTCGTTCGTCAGCTTATATGTGCTGGTAACAAGGATGGGGAACAAAATCGTCAGTTTTAGATGAAGTTTTTATAGAATAGCTTTATTGAAGCTTGCGACAAGTTAAGCAAATTAAGTAATGTGGCGTCGTGTGGCGTAGTGGATAGAGCGTTCGGCGCTCAACAAGGAGCCCCGGGTTCGAACCTGGGTCGGAGCACGGGGGCATGTCCGAACATGCGCACCGACGTTGTGCCCTTGGGAAAGGCACTTTACACGTATCCCCCCTCAATTAGAGGGTCAAGTCTCCAACGGCAGTTGTCTTCAGCTGGCGGACGAGAGCAGCGCCAGGCGGGCTGGCGTGATCAAGGCGGAACTTGAGCGTAACCAAGTCACCGGCAGCTCGCTGCAAGCACCCGAACCGGAACCAGCACGTCTCCCTCGATGGATCCGCTGGGGAAGACGGATGCCCAAGTGTGTGGGTCTCAGATTCGCAACCTGTTATCCACCTTAAACAAATTCACGCGAAGGCTACCGTGTCAACTGTGACCCTCACTCAGGTGCAGGGGCTGACACGGTCATCATACTCGGAAAGTCTGTATATCTGTACATGAATCTGTATCTGTGCATGACTATGTATCTGTACATGACTCTGTATCTGATTACAAATAAAGATCACGAGTGATTGCCAAGAATCAAGCAAGGGCACATTGCTGTGGGATTGTGATTTGTATCCTAGGCAATGCTAATTTCCAAGCAGATCCCTTTCGGTGGCAAGACAGTATCCATTAGCCAGAGAAGGTCGCCGGCCACGTTGGTGGGGGTATCGACAAAAACGGTCATATATATAAAAAGCTAACGATCATTCCTCCACAACCTCTGCTTGGAGAGTACCTAAACCTCTGCTTGGAGAGTAAGGCAATGCCATGTATGTCCTGGTCTCAGCGGTCCAAGGTTTTTAACTGCCATTTGAACAATGCTTACAAGAGGCATTGTGGTTAAGGTTGTTTCTTTTATTCAACATAAAAGAAACAAAGAAAGAGTGGCGTAGCACTCAAGTAACAATACTTATATTAACTGCGCCACTTAACATATGAAGAAATCTGACTACACAAACAAAAGGACAAACAAAATAACATTAACAGCAATGATGACAATAACAGAAATACTAGTAATGAAAACGACTGATGTGCACCAACTCCCCCACCTCAAGTACTAATTAAAAATAACAAGTGAATATTTGTGTGACACCAAGACAATTGACTTCTATATCTTTTCCACTGACAAACTCAGTCCAAAAGAGCTAGAAGCGCTGAGTTTGTTAAGGTTGTTGACTCAGTCCGAGGGATGTGGTGGGTTCGAATCCGTGACAGGCTACAATGTTGTGTCCTTGGGAAATTTCGAAAGGCACAGAACACACATTTCCTCACTTGACTAAGGTGTAAATGAGTACCTAGCTTCGGTTAGGGACGTCCTCTCGGATAGGACGTAAAGCCGGAGGCCCCTCAAGTACGTCAAAAACTCCAACCACATTTATCAAATCAAAAAGAGGTCCTTCCCTGTGTGAGAGATTCAACATATACCCTACACATACTAGCCTCCTTCGCAGTCTTGTTGGGCGTCGGCGTTATTTTTTCTCTGAGCGACGCGAGTAATATGCGGCCGCAAGGGACGATTTGCTGCCGAGGGAGTTTTTGCCACGGAGAGAAGGTTTCGCGGCAAAAACTCCCTCGGCAGCAAATCGTCCCTCGCGGTCGCATATTACTCGCGTCGCTCAGAGAAAAAATAACGCCGACGCCCAACAAGACTGCGAAGGAGGCTAGCACATACAGCCTAGTCTCAGGTTTGACGTCTTTGAAGAGGTGATAGTCACCTGTTATGTCAGTCCTTCCACATATGTTTTAAATATTCATGAGTAAATTAAAAGTGTAATGGGTCCAGTGTTTACCTTTTAAGGCACTGAAGCGTGGACAGGTCAGTCAGGTACCCGGACACCACGTGTGGACACATGTAGATTTTCTTCCACACCGGAAGTTCGTCATAACTACATAGCTTATCATTCGATCCTTGGACAAGACAAGAAAATTTAAAAAAATGAAGTATTGAAATAAACACAAATACACCTAGCTGTAAGGCTAAATTAGCATCAACTATTAATGAGATACACACAAATAAACACATGTACGATAAACTATAAGGATTTAAAAATTTAAAATTACATCACAGAAACAAAACACTTCTAGTTGTATGTGTCCTGCTATGCTTTCCTTCTCTTCTGGGATGGGAGGTTTGACTCCTGCTATCCATAGTTTTTTAAATGTCTTGTCAACGCCTTTTTTCATTGTAAAGTGGCTGCGAGAATATAAATTATACCTAACTTGAGTTCGCAGTCACTCAGTCCATGTCCTTTTATTTTTAGTCATATAGTGTGCTTCCGAATAAAAAAAACTGTAAGGATCAGCAACAACTATTTTTTTAGTATCGTTTAAACTTCTGCTATGTGAACTGACGACATAGTTTACCTGCAAAACTTCGTGAATTCTTATTGGAACAACATTTATAGATTACAACATTTTATATACAATACGAAGCCTTGAAAATACTATAATCTTAGTGTATATCACTTGTTGGCACCGGCACACCCCAATAATTGTTGGGTAAAGCTCGGTAAAGCTAAGAGTACTAGTTGTCCGACGGGTTCTTGTCTCAGACTGTCACTCTCAAAACATTTGCGGTAACGTACTGGCATTCTTGGTCACTGAAGCATTTCTACCACTGCATAAATCGTCATATTGTAACACATGGGAGAGAGATCTTTACGACTCGAGATCCTGTTTTCTGAACGATTTTACAGAAGAAGAAAAACCACTCAAGTGGTCAGGGGTCTTACCTGTGAATCTGCCAGCGCCAGGGTCACTCAATTTTAGTCTGACGTTCGCCATTTGTTAGTCCTACTTTTCCTATGGGTAGTTTACAGTTGGTTGAGTATCTTTGGCAATAACTACTGAGTGTTGAACAACCACGGTAGGTCTGTGTCGTGAAAGAAAACTGTACACTAAGGACGTTGTTGCGGCGTTCTAACCAAGATTAGGCGCCGAGCCTTCTGACATGTATGATTCGCCACACCTCAAAATGTCTCACAGGTGAAATGTCAGACCACTGACATACCACCCTTTAACTGGTACAACAGGATATGACGTAACTTTCTTTAGTCGATTTTTTTCAGGGTTGCCGTTACAAATCGGATGGCACCCAGGCTAGTATCTTGTAGCCTCCACCAGGCCTTTCTACGGGGATACGGATCGTAGAATTCGGCAAAAAAAGAGAGTAAAATTGGCCAAGGGAGCCCGGCCGCGGGGAGGTAGTTTCTTTCCCTCCGAACTGCGCGGCCTGTCAAACCTACAAGGCGGTCAAACTCCCTTATAGCCAGCGTAGTTAGTCTGGTAGAGACTAAGTATCTTGCCCAATCGTATCCAAGCTTTGATTGTTTGTGGAACAGTTGTTGCTGCGATCTTAATTCTAACTGATAGATATCTGTATACATATTGTTAAACACTACAATGCAGGGAAGTCCTTAGATTGGTGCTGGAAGGGTGTTAACTGAACCGAGAACAAATCTGTACAATAGACGTTTTGACACGTCAGTGAAGTATCAAAGACAAAGAATGTCATTCCGGGCTCAACTGCTGTGAAAAAAGAGTCGAAAACCTGTCGTTGTTTTTGTTACTATTCTTTATTATTGATGCTCAAATACATATGTACGAGTAAAAGAATTTGAGAGGTAAACATTATTCACCGATCTTTCTCACTACACTAGAGTACTCACGTGCACGGTATAAACGAGGTGCACCAGTAAAAAGTACCAACGATCATAATGTGTGCCTACTCGCATACTGGACTCATTTAACATTTATAATTGTACAGCTGTGATTTTTAAGTTCTTTTCTTATAAAATATTGTCTTGAATGATTATGCTGCTGTGTGAATTAGATGTAATTAAGAAATCTGATTGTCTGCCACGTGCTAATGAGTCCATGTTCTATATGTTCTATTAACTGTTTTACTCAATATAAGCATCACTCCATATAGTATCTTTCCTCGTCAATTCACTGTCTTCATTCATATGTGCCCAGGAGAAGTGAAAACCCATTTCTTCTTTATGCAACACCGAAAACGTGTAACTGATACATTTAAGCTTAAATTCATATGTTTACGTCGTTATGAAGCACGTTTAGGCTGTAATTGCCGAACAAGAAATTGGACTTACCCAAATTTCGACTAGATAACACCAGTCTTGTCAAGACACCAGTCTTGTCATGAGCAACCCGACGCTTCCAAGACGTCACGTTATGCAGATGACGTGACTCGGTGAGCAGTGGATCATAGGTTGCAGAAAGTCTGTGGCGCCCCCCGTCGTTGTTGGGGGATGTGCACAACGTTACGCCAAGTAAGCGATGGATTGCTCATTCCTTTACCAAGACTGGAGTTGTACATTCGAAAATTTGTGCACGTCCAACTTCGTGCGTTGGAAATTACAATTTAAACTTGCCTCATATTGACTTCTACCAACACAGATGAACTTTCAAGATATGGTTTTTTTTTTATTCCAACATTTATTACAAGACATGGCGGCGGCACACTCACGTTTTTCCAACTTATTTTCATGCCACCACCAACGCAGACAGACGTATGAACGGACAAGAGACATACTCATTTACACCTGAGTAAAGTGAGGAAATTCGTGTTAAGTGCATTTCCCAAGGGCACAAGATAGATCGATGGCATGGTGGGATTTGAACTCGGGACCTCTTGGTTACGCCACACGACCCAAAAAGATATGTTCACGTCTTTTCCTGGCATTTCCCTGTGACTAATTTGATCAGTCCTTTATGGTGTAGTTCCGTTAGTTTTTCGAACTCCCTGTCGATGTGGTGCCACCTGTTACTGAGGCCTGTTTTGATCCCCCTGTGCGCGTAGTGATACCGGATGGTGCTGTTGTTCTTGTCCACTAACCACGGCCAGAACCCGTAGATGTACACCTCGTCACACAGGGCGATAGCCGTGGTCACCATCAACAGACCTGCAAACATAGTCATTGGTCAGCGAGTTTTTGGTTATTGGTTATCGAGTTTTTGATAATTGGTTATCGAGTTTTTGGTCATTGTTATCGAGTTTTGGTAATTGATTATCGAGTTTTTGGTAATTGATTATCGAGTTTTTGGTTATTGGTTATCGAGTTTTTGGTCATTGTTATCGAGTTTTGGTAATTGATTATCGAGTTTTTGGTAATTGATTATCGAGTTTTTGGTTATTGGTTATCGAGTTTTTGGTCATTAGTCATCGAGATTTAGGTCAATGTTTATAAAGTTTTGATTGAATATTGATTATTTTGTCTTGGTTGTCATTGGTTATTGAATTTTTGGTCATTGGTTATCGGGTTCTTAGTCATCAATTACTGAGCTTTTGGTCATTTATCAGCGAGCTTTTGGTCATTGGCTATCAAGTTTTACATTGGATAGTGAGTTTTTTGTCATTGGTCATTGAGTTAATTTGTAATTGACTTTTTGGTCATTAGTTATTGAATTCTTGGCCATTAGTTATTGAGTTTTTTCAGCAAGGAATAGTTCATTTCTCAAACAGCAATAGCAAATACCTAATTTAGGTTACTCAGTGGTCCATGCATGAAGAACGTTTTGCACGGTGATTTCAGAAGAACTTCCGATTACGAATGTCACTTCTTCGCTATAGCCGTAATTATAATTCTACACTGTTAATTCAGCCTAAAACTTTACCATTGATATTTTTGTATATCCAGCTTTACCTGAGGTTAAGTTCATCTCATACACCCCCTGTCGTCTCCAGAAGGACCTGGCCAGACCCTGGTGTTCCGGCCGGTTGTAGATGGCCCTCTGGGTTTTATTGTGTATTCTAGAGATACAGAAGAAGGTTACATTTTAGACCGAAACATATTCTACATCTCACCAATTCTAAACACTTACGTATAAGTTTCTTTTTTACAATATTTTTTACAAAACGCAAGAATTCGTGGGTCAACATATTAGTCTGTGTTACACAATCTCTCGGCTCAATTGTCATTGGCTGATTATGCCTAATCCCCTCGGAGCCTGACCAATGGAAGGGCTGCTACACGCAGGAGTCTGACCAATGGAAGGGGTGCTACACGCAGGAGTCTGACCAATGGAGGGGCTGCTAGACGCAGGAGCCTGACCAATGGAAGGGCTGCTAGACGCAGGAGCCTGGCCAATGGAAGCTGCTAGACGAAGGAGCCTGGACCAAGTGGAAGGGCTGCTAGACGAAGGAACCTGGCCAATGGAAGGGCTGCTAGACGAAGGAGCCTGGCCAATGGAAGGGCTGCTAGACGCAGGAGCCTGACCAATGGAAGGGCTGCTAGACGCACGAGCCTGACCAATGGAAGGGCTGCTAAACGCAGGAGCCTGACCAATGGAAGAGTTGCTAGACGCTGGAGCCTGACCAATGGAAGGGCTGCTAGACGCAAGAGCCTGGCCAATTGAACGGCTGCTAGAAGTGTGATGTAGTGATGCTAGCTGACTATTGGACGTACGGAAAATGTACTAGTATGGGAACATGTAATTGGATCACCTTAGTATATCATGTATCTGTAACAGTGCGTTGGTGTGCATTCTGCTAATAAACGGCTGGGACCAGATGTACACATCCGGATCATACTGGTCCAGATGCCCCATGAACCTTTGCACGTGGTAGTCTGTACTGAACTTGCGCCACCTGAAAAAAAAAAAACATCATGCAAGTGAAGTAGAACTTTGCTGAATTGAGTTTTCTCAAAGTTATGTAGTTTTCATTTAGTAGACATATAGACAAAACTGCCATGATAGGAACGCAGCTATTTTGTGAGAGGAGTGAAGGAGACCATCTACATCAGAGTGCTCAAAGCTTCTCTCAACCGGGACGGGAGCCGGTACCGACTTTCAACGAACTTTGACCCAGTGTTGACGTCACACGTGCGGAAAAAACCAATGTGTCTACAGCACTTGGGTCAGATAGCTGATGGAGACCGAGAAATTGGCACAAAAATTCGGATGAGTCAAACTCCTTTGAGTTGAAGAACAGTTTATTTCTCATTATAAAAAAAATATGCCCAAACTAGAAACGTAACATTTGCAAAGCAAAAGCATAATGTTTACCTTTGCACATAGTCTGCTCTGTTAATTTTTACTCAAACACTTTGTTTTCCTTCGGTAAACGTAATAAAGTTTGCTGATATATATCACTTTATTTGTAAGATCTGAAAGTAGACTAACTTTTCTCTGAGCCTGTCTCCGTTGCAGGTGACCAGACTGGTTCTGGAGCCGATGTCCTGACGATACTCCGGCATAACTGGGGCCACGTTAAACCTGGGAACGAGAACGGTGATGTCAGAAGGTTTCAATCTCCACCACAGGGTACTGCGGTTGTCCTTGGCCTTGGATACTTCGATAGGTTTATGCATAGGTTATGTTTCTTTCGGTTTTTCCCACAACAGAAATGCTACATTGACAAATATTATCTCATGGAATCACTGCGAATACTACAATAATGCACGCGCTACACAAACCATACCTCAAGTAGATATCACAATATACATGTACAAGCAAGCTAAAAACATATACTATGGAAAAAGTATTTTGTTAAAAAGCCCAGTTTCTTCGATTTTAAAATCTGCTATCTCTAGCAAAATAGCAATACGTGAGACGTAAATGTATCCATAACAAACAATCTAATTGCAAGCAATGTTTCTAACAAGAATTTGGAGATCTCAGACCTCCATGGAATATTTAGATCTTGTGTGATGGTGACTGTCTTTATCATGCATTGGCAAACAACACCAGCTGTCAAGGAGGTCATGTAATGAAAAACACCCTTGAAAACAGCAAACGCTACCATATGTAGACATGATAATGACTTTCTCCCTCTGGGACAGACTGAACCCAACCATATCCATTACAACCTGGCAATGCTTATGCGGAAACACAGACACGCACTCGGACATACCAAAAACAATACTTCCATTTTTCATGGAGATAAAAAGTTCCCACCCACCTGATAATGAACCTTGCTGAGTCGATCTGTTTACCACAGTTACTGTTGGACAGGATGCCTCCACTACCCACAATGCTGCAGTTCCGAAATCTCTTGTCTGCAAACGGCGACTCCTGGTAAAAAAAAATAGACAGGGTTAAAATTATACATTTGTAGTTACATTTACATTCGTTTTATGGTACCAACCGTTAACGTATTGCTTAATTGTTCATCTTTTGTGCGTCCAGAAACTCAGAAACTAACAGAACTAGAAAGGTAACATTTCCAAAGCAAATGCATAATGTTTACCTTCGCATATGGTCTGCTCTGTTAATTCTAACTCAAACACATTCATATATATGGTCAGACAGGAGTCTAAATCCCAGCTGCTACAAAATTGCAACATGATGTAACCCAACACTAGTTACCATGGTGATAGACGTCTGGTTCAGGTCATTGACATTATTTGTTTGGAAAGGAAGAAGAAGAAACAGAGCAAAAACAATATGTTTTCCTTCAGTAAACATAAATATTCTGACATTCCCCCAATGACGTTTCATAACATTATATATATATATACTCTAGTGTAAGAACAGGGTAAGCTGTGTAAGGGTAAGCTACAGTCGGTTCACCTTCGGTAATTTCCGGTTGAGTTCGTCGGTGATGAGGTATTTACTTTTGTCCACGAAGTACCTAACGGTGGAGTTGACCGGAGTGTTTCTCTTGGTCATGATGAACAGGTCACTACTGTGGACCTCACGCTCAAGCAGGTCTCTTCAAGAGGACAGACAAGTGTTAAGAATGAAAATTACTGTGTTAATGTACCATCTGGTAGGAAATGCCAACCACTTTTAGATGTGAAACTTCTGTGGATAAACTAAACTCAACTAAACTGACTTAAGTAGTTCTACTGCTACTACATTTACTCCTCCTCCTCCTCCTACTACTACTACTACTGCTACTACTACTACTACTACTACTCCTACTACTGTTACTACATTTACTCCCCCTCCTCCTCCTCCTACTACTACTACTGCTACTACTACTACTACTACTCCTACTACTGTTACTACATTTAATCCTCCTCCTACTACTGCTATTACTACTACTACTGTTACTAATGTAACAATTACTACAACTACTACTAGTACTACAGCTACTACTACTATTACTACTACATCTACTACATGTACTACTACTACTACTATTACTACTACCCCTACTACCACCGCTACTACTACTACTACTACTGCTACTACTACTACTACTACTACTACTGCTACTACTACTACTACTACTACTATTACTACTACTACTACTACTTACTTGAACCTTGATCCTTTCAAAGAGTAACGTTTTTATGATAACTAACCTGAACTCTATCAGTCCTGTCCAGTTGAACTTGAAGTTCGGGTCATTGTCAGGAAGGTTCTTGGCAAAATCAGGCAGGTTGTTCCAATCCTCCTCGTCGGAGAGCCGCTTGTACTTAGGTTTGGTGCTGTTTGTAACGTTCTGACTTTCACTGTCTGGTGGAGGAAAGACGTTCTGTTCTGGTTTAGGGGCGGAGTTTGACGGACGGCGTCTCCGGCGGCGACTGCTGGGTTTGGGCGGCCGGGCAGGACTGGGATCCACTTTGGTCACGTTCACGATAGAGACGTTCTGATTTCTGCAACAAAGAAGAGAACAGACTGAGACCTGCAGCTGCTTGCATCAATCTTTGGGTTCCAAGAGGATGTCATCCATAGAATCAAATCAACATGGCCTAAGCTCTTAGGGAGTGAAGAATATATTGTTATAACTCCCATCACCACTGCAAAAACATCGCGTTCGAAAGCCCTCTTATTGTTTATTATTTGTTTGTTTGTTTGTTTGTTTGTTTGTTTGTTTTGTACTCACAAAATAAAATGAAATATAACAATTGTAGTTAAGTAGACATACATGGGAGGGCCGGAAACCTGGTGGTTTATCTTTGGCCCTTCCAAATACTATATAATATTAAAAGTTACCATTGATACTGAATGAAACAAAATTTAAACGAAGAAGACAAAAATAACAGGAAATAAACAGAAACAATTCTAAGAACTAATGAAACAATACAAATCATCTATCTGAACAAATAAAGAAAGATCTTAGTAATTAATCCAGTTATTACGAACATAAGTACAAATGTAAATTATAAGTTTTCAAATCAACAAATACCTTGCATCCAAGAGAAACGTCAGCAGTAAGGTCTCGTTTTCGTCAACTTTGACCCTTCTTTTGATGATTTCGTTAACAAACCAATGAACACCGTTGGGAGACCCATGGGCAGCCATGTCCGGAGATTGTACGTGAACTTCCTTTATGTTTCTAAAACAACAAAAACAAGAGTTCCACGATCTCATACCTTCGCCAAATGATGTTAACCCTTGCGGGTGACGAATTATACAATTTTAATCATTGATTTTGTAAATAAGAGCCTCATTTGCATGGATTATATCAGTTGATCATATTCTCCATCCAATGACAGCCTTATCATAACAAAAAGGCTATTATAGCACTTCCTCATAAATTATGCAAATCAGGTCAAAATTTGAATAAATTATATTTATTGATGTTCACCTTCACTTAACTTCCAAATGTGGCAAGTATGAAATTCGGGGTGCAGCAGTTACAACTATGGAATTATAAGAATTTGCCATTAATTATGCAAATTAGGTCCTCATTTACATAATCTATATCCTCAGATGTTTTTCTCGTTCTCAAGTAGATGTCACAAGTGTTTCATAGTTCTATTATCGAACAAAGCAGATTTATAGAATTTCCTCATTAATTATGCAAATTAGCTCCTGATTTGCATAATTGCCATCTGATTATGCCAAGCATCACTTCAACTACCTACATACCAAAAATCACGACAATACGTCAACCGGTTCTTGAGTTATCGTCCTTCAATTTTTTTTCAACAAATGCTCCTGCAGTTCCAGAACAAGGCGTTAGGGGACCCAAACTCATGTCACTTCTTCCCTACCCCAAGAGCTATCTACCAACCAAAATTCATGACCCTAGCATGTCCAGAACATGAGATATCAAAACCGGAAGTTCAGCTGCAGTACCTAGGAAAGCCGCAAGGGGGCCCAAAATCTAATCATTTCTAGGTCTCATAAAGACCTACCCACCTACCAAGTTTCATTCCAATCCATCCACTGCTTCTCGAGTTATCTTGCTAAACCATGGCCACACACACACAAACACACCCACCCACCCACACACACACAGACAAACGCTACTGAAAACATAACCTTCTTGGCGAAGGTAACAAACGGAACCAAAAACAACTCAACAAAACAAAGAAACATTAAGGAAACATATCACTAATACTGATACAGATATAACACAAGTAAATAACAGGATAAGGAAATGAAATGATAATTGTGTCAATGTTTCATACAGGAAAGCAGGTGCAACACAACGTAACCTAAATGGAGTTTACTGTGTTCTCATTACCTTTAAAAATGCTTTTTTTATTCACATATATTTGTTGAGTATTGGGCAGAAAGCAAAAGATGCTTTGTTGCCCTCAGTAGACACCCCCCCCCCCAAAAATGCGTAATCTATTGCACCGTTATATTTATGAAACATATACACTTTTACTTTAAATGCACCCAAAGCGATTTCAGGACAATAAAACTGAATTCTCAAATTCAATTGTCTGTCATTGTTTTAATATAGTACTAGTAATTTGAATCAACCCTATCCCATGTGAGGCAAAATTGGGTTGGGGTCGTGTGGCGTAGCGGCAGAGTGCGCGACTCGGAACTAAGAGTCCCGGGTTCGAGTCCCGACATGCCACCGATCTTGTGCTCTTGGGAAAGGCACTTTACACGACTTTCCTCACTTAGCCCAGGTGTAAATGAGTATTGTCCTGTCATGTATTTGTCCCCTATGTTGGTGGCGGCATTAATGTAAGTTGAAAAAACTTGAGTGTGTCGTCACCACGTCTGGTGATTACATGTTGGAATAAAAAAGAAAAGAAACTGATTGCTTATTTCGTATCGTAGGCTGGTTTTACTATATATTTATGGTACCATAAAATGCTTGTTTTTGGCGGTTCAAGTATGAATCGATGACGAAAATGTTCTAAGAAATGGCAGTAAAATGTCAACATCAGACGGATTTACTCCTACAGAATATTTACGTTTACCGAAGGAAAAGATATTGTTTTTGCTCAGTTTCTTCCTCTTTTTCTTCTCCAAACAGTGACCTCAGTGACTTGAACCAATGTTGTGCCTGTTACCATGGTAAATAATGTAGGGTTACATCATGTTGCAATTTTATAGCAGGAGGGATTTAGACTCCTGTCTGACCACATACTAGTATATGAATGTATTTGAGTAAGAATTAATAGAGCAGACCACATGCGAAGGTAAACATTGTGCATTTTCCTTGCAAATGTTACCTTTCTATTTTTTTTTTTTTGGTTTTGTCGCCCTTAAAATCGAATTGGATGTCTTTAGCTTACCTTATAAACTGATTCTGAGACTGCAGCAGACTAGTTTTGACGTTGTCGGTGTAGGTGATGTTGATTTGGATGGTGTAGGTGAACATGAACACCATCATGGCCGCCATCAGAGCCACCAGTACGTAAAACAGTCTCCTGGGGTCCATCGTGAACGGTGGAGCTGCTAGAAACAGGAAAAATATCCCACTTGAATGAAAGACCTTTATTGTACATTTATGGCCTTGTGGGCGAAATACACGACATGGTGATAAGTCTGGTATCTGGTATCTATAGCATACTAATATGTACAGGTTCAGCTTTTTGCAATTGTCGCTTCTGAAGACAGTTGTTAGCAATAAAAACTACATGATTCAATACAATTAAAACCTTGTGTGGGCGTGGTTTCGTCAGTATTGTTTAGTGTTGGCAAACAAGTACATCAAGATTAAGCCAAAATGTTATCTTGAAAGTTCATCTGTGTTGGTAGAAATCATTATGAAGCAAGTTTAAACTGTAACTCAGGACATTACAACCATCACTCAACAGAGACGGGGGGCGCCACAGACTTTCTGCAACCTTTGATCCACTGCTCACGTAGTCACGTGTGTTATCTGCGTGACGTCACGGAAGCGGTGGATTGCTCATTCCTTGACAAAGACTGGAGTTGTACAGTCGGAAATTTGGGTGCGTCCAATTTGTTGTGTTTGAAATCATAGTTAAAAACTTGCTTCATAAGCCAGAATCTTAACATTGCGGAAGAAAAAACTGTTTCCCCCATTTTCCTGAACGTTGGCCTATAGTTCCTACAAGAAAACAGTGTCCATGGCAGTCAGTAGTCCACAATACCGGTGTGTTGGACTGCAGAGTGAGTTTATGTTATAAACTCATCACTTCTGCTTGATTGTGCAATGTTGCATCCATTGAACCTGAAACCACTTATTCCTGACAGGAAGAGCTATCTGTCACCAAAATACAAGACCATAGCATGTTCAGGACAAAAGATACAAAAATTGCTGCAGTACCAAGGTCAGCCACCAGGAGGCCCATATTTGACCTTGACTTTTGTCTTCCTACTACCTACCAACATACCAAATATCAATCCATAAAGGCGTTATGAAGCTATGCTACAAATGTGCGGAAACACACACACACACACACACACAAACACGCACATACACATACACACACACACACACACAAACACACACACACACAGGCACAGACACACACACACAGAGACACAGATTTAAATACACACACACACACACACACACACACACACACCAAAAACAATACCTCCATTTTCACGTATGTACATGTACAACGGACTACAAAACAACACCATCTTGGAGGAAGGTCGCGGGTCAATGGCCTTTCATGGTCTGAAGACACCTTGCTGAGATTTGAATAAATCAATATCCGGACCAGTCATCTACTTATAAATTATAGCTGAGCCTATTGTTCTTTGTTCTTCTTCACTTCAATATCTGAGTCATGTTGTCCGGTTACAAAGAACTAATTTAAGAGATATGGTAAAGGGCGTTTCCCCCGTAACTATCACATTCGTCACTATAAATATATGTCCGCCCAAAAAGGAAATTGTCCGCCAGTAAAAAGTCGTCAATGTGAGTATTCAGTGCTAAGGCCACACCAAGTAAATTTTATGGATGACGTCCACGCGCGCATTGATTTTGGCCTGTTCCTAGAAAAAAAACAAGAAATTCCGCTTCCTGTTACTATGACCAAAGAGTGACGACAGTGCCGCAATTTTATGCTTTGTTTCTGCAGGCCTGCAAAAATGTGATGAAAGAAACAGGACAGGACGATAACTGCTGTTCCACCTGATTTATTGCTGTTTTGGTGATGAATAAAAGACTTCTTGCTTGTTACACTGTGTCACCTCATTCAATTTGTGTCCTAACATTTGTCGTCTCTTAGTATATTTCAAATCTAGGCATCTTGTTTTTTAGGGCCCTTCTTGTTTTTTTTTCGCCCTCTCGCATTAGATTTAGGGTCTCCAAAGGACGTCATCCATAAAATTTACTTGGGGTGGCCTAACAGTTAAACACAGGAGTTCATGGGTTAAAACTGACATTAGTTGTCAGTTATATGTCAGAAAAATTTATATTCAGGGAAATTTATATATATTCCTTATAGCCTTCGACAAACCAACTTTAACTACTCATACAGCCTCCTATATTTCTACTAAATACTAAGAAGCGAGAGGAGGTCAAAAGTACTAGAGTATACTAGAAGTTAATATATACACGTCTATATATATATGACTGTCAACATGTGACCTGTATTTAGCCCAATGGGGCAAAATGTACAATAAAGGTCTTCATTCATTCATATTTTATGTCTGTCTTGCCTTTCAAACTACAGGGCGTTACCCTCTCTGTGATTACTACAAAGTAACGAAAGGTCAAGGTCATACGTTATGAAGGGAGCCGGTGAGAATAGAGAGTTCCCACGCTATTTTTGTCTCCAAGCAGAGGTTTAGGTTTTGGCGTGTTTTAGCTTGGTTTCCTTTGTACTGGTATCTTTATTTATTGCTTCTTCAAGTGGCGTATTATTGTATACAACCTGGCCATTTGATTTTTTTTTGCAGTAACCAAAACATCTGCTTGGAGATTAACACTTTATTTGTATGTCACAGCGTACAGAGGACTATGCAATGCCAATAGTAGACAGTCATAACCTCGTCACTGGTAATCACACAGCGTACTGTGTACTGAGATGACTTACTCGACGATCAGATCCTTACGTACATTTTATCGCCAAGGGGTTGATAAAATAAAGCTACTACTACTACTACTACTATAAAATGAAACAGAGAGGAATAGATGACCCTTTTACGTCACCACTAAATTATAGATATGCACATTTTAAGCCGGAAGAAGACAGTTAGCACCCGTGTAAATGTCACACAAAATAGTAGTAATTTGAAAACATTCAGCTCCCAGTTTATAGACAGTTAGATAGAACTACAAAAAACATATATCTTTAACTTAATGCATATGTTCATGCAACTGCCTCAAGAAGCGAGAAGTTCAATCTGTAAATAGTAGTTCACATTAGTGTGCATAGTTTTAGTAACATGCTACTGTAATCTTATCTCTGTTTTATACGTGACCTGTACTTAGCTCGTAAGAGCATAAACGTACATTAAAGGTCTTTCATTCTAGAATAGACCAAGAAACTTCCATCCTTGAACAGACTTACTGTATTGATCACATTGTCATTGTTACCAAATATTGTACACTGTACAACTGTCAAGTGTCATTGTTGCCACACATTGTACCACTGTCGAGTGTCATTATATTGTTACCACATATTGTACACTGTACCACTGCCGAGTGTCATTGTTGCCACACAAATTGTACCATGTACAACTGTCGAGTGTCATTGTTGCCACACATTGTACCACTGTCGAGTGTCATTATATTGTTGCCACATATTGTACACTGTACCACTGCCGAGTGTCATTGTTGCCACAAATTGTACCATGTACAACTGTCGAGTGTCATTGTTGCCACACATTGTACCACTGTCGAGTGTCATTATATTGTTGCCACATATTGTACACTGTACCACTACCGAGTGTCATTGTTGCCACACATTGTACCATGTACAACTGTCGAGAAATAAAGTTCATTCAATCATTCATTCATTCAGTCTATCAACAGAAAGAAAATCACAGCAACTGCTGTTACACAAGATTTAGGTGATTTTCTGAAAAAGTATACAAAAATGTAGATCTCACCCGTCCATACTCGCCGACCTGTAGCCTGTTTAAGTCCCATTCGACTGTTGACTATCATTAGGATTTAAAAAAATTCTCAAATCTCCGGATAGGTCACACGATCTGGGCATTCATAATGGCGGCACGGAGGTCTCTGGGCCTACTTATGTGACGTCACAAACCAGTCGGACCGGTTGACTCGTGGATAAATCCGTGATGTACCTTGCTCGGACCACCTTGGGTAGTAAGACCACAGCAAGTAATTTTTATGGATGACATCAGCGCGCGCATTAATTTTCGCTTGATTTTGGGAAAAAAACAATTTTTTTTCCTTCTGACAGTGGTCAACATGCCGAAAATGGGCAAAAACGTCTGTTGCCATGCCGGGATGTGGATGGAAGGTAACTATGAAGAGAGGAGACAAGAAAAGGCTCTGATTTATTGTTTTGTTTCTTACTTCGATGCAGGCTGTGTATATGTGATGTTCCCACTGAATCAAAACCATTTGTACAATGATTGAGTCAAAATTTGAAATTGTAGGAATCTTGTTTTTTTCGACCCGCATTAGATTTGGAGTCTGCGGTGGATGTCATGCATAGAATTAACATGCTGTGGCCCAATGTGTTCCAAAGGGATACTAAACTATGATTGGGTTTTAAAATTGGACCTAACAAAAAGTGTATTTTTAACATAGTAAAAATTGCTGGTCAGTTAACTAACACATTATTAGGTAGGGGAGTCGGAAGTGTTTGATATAAAGGGGCAGATCACTACTGTAATCTGCATAAACGTAATTGTAAGCACTGCAATAATGATACATCTTTGTATTTCACATGCCTGTTTTCCTTTCTTAACTCTTAACAAATTTACTTTACATGTGCTAGAGGTGCCAAATGGAGCTGTGATAGTAAATATATATCTATAAAATGCTCTGTAAACAATTAAGGTTTTGTAGAATGATTTACAATGAAATAAGACGAAAGACACTTGTCACGTAATTGTGTATTAAAAGAGAAATAAGTATGCAAATTCTGTTCCTCTTAGAACCCTGATGAGCAATTTAAAGCTACCCAGCTCCTCTATACTAAGATTATTAGTTTCAACATTTTTAATATTCATAAAAACCAGCCTCGCAGCCTGTACAAAATAAACATGCTGAATAACACTGATTTTTTTTTACAGTTGAATTGTCTGGCAAATACAAATTATACATTACAATACATAAGTACAAACACACGAACAAAAACATTACAAAGCCTCACATGGGCACTAAAGTAAAGACCAGAGCGTCCTAAGAGTCTTACTGCGAAGCTTGTTGTATAGGCATATTGCCTTATTATTCACCTTTAGCAGCTGTGAAAGATAATTTAGAAATGAAAATATCGGCAATGTGACCTATTTAGAGATATCTATTATTAAACATATCCTACACAAACAATAACTGTCCACCTTTATTGAACAGCTAGCCCTAGTATTCAAAATAATTATTTACACCCAAATGGACCATAGAGAGTATACATTTATGTAATTCGGTTAATCGTTTTTAATTTCTGGTATAGTTTGAGTTTGTTGGGAAGTAAAATGATATGCGATGAATATAAACAAAACCACCACCACGCGTGTTAGATTTTTTAAGAACGAAATTTCAGTATAATATCGATATCATATTACTGACCACCTGCTAAATACAATATAAAAGTTGCCGAGGGCTTATATTACATAAACTATAATCTCATAGCTAAGTAGATCCCTTTCAGTGGCAAATTGACAGTATCAAATTGGCCAGGCAGTATCCATTGGCCAGAGAAGGTCGCCGGCCACCGACGGGATTTACACAAAAAAAGAAACAGCTATATATAAAAAGCTAACGATCATTCCCCTACAACCTCTGCTTGGAGAGTACGTAAACTAGACTTACCTGTGTGAAACTTGAGTGTGAAATTACCGTCCCAAAACCAGAAAGAATTGAGAAACTGAGTCTTCAAACGAGGTACGCAAGAGCCTTTCACTCAGACCTATGAGCTCTTTTCATCTGTTCAGAAATGCGGCATGAATTTTTGATGATGTTTTTGTCATGGCGTGAGGAGGAATGGATTTCTGTCAACCAAACGCTATCTGAAGAGAATTAACTTGATCAAGATGGCATTAGGTCATAACATGTTAATTACTAATGCTCAAAATAATCATCTGTTAATGTTAACGTTATATCCATTACAACAACGAAGTCAAAGTTGCGGTTCACCTTTTCCTGAAAACAATGTGGATACCATCAATATTTGATATCGCTGAGGATATGCAAAATATCAAGGAGGTTGACTACACTAAACCTCCTTGAAAATATCAATGGGATGATATGTGATGTTAACGTTATGCAGTTTGTAAAATAATTGCTAGATGTCGCGCCTGCACTGCTGTTGAAGAGCAAACGGCGAGAAATAGTAAAATTTGAAATCTTTACGCAATATTAATGACAAACTTTTACCACGTCTTCCATTAATGTATTTTGGAAACAGTTTTTGGTTACTTTGAATCGTTAACAAAGTAAAAGTTTAGCTTTTTTTTTTACATCTGTCGGGTCAAAGGTCAAATCAAGATGGCGGTTTTGGAAGAAAAACAACAGGAAGGCCTAGCTTTTCTTGATAATTTCGCGTTTATAAACAGTTTTCAGCTAGTTTAAGCAGTTCCTCTGGCGAATAACAATTAAGAGTCAGTTTGAGAAACGTTTCATGTCAGGAAGTTTGAGATTCTTGATCGTTTTGGTTCAGGAAAGCCAGTATAATTTTGTTGAAACTCGGTCCATACTCTGAAGTAAAAGTTAGCGGAAATTATGTTGCTGACAGTTTGCTATGCCTACCTGACATTCACTGCCGCCTCTAGGGTAGCCAGGCGAAAGATGAAGATACTGAACTTGGTGAGACAGTACGCCCTGGCCTCTGGCTTGAGCTTCAAGTCAGGAAAACCCGAGTATCTCTGCCACCTGACACAAGAAATAAGTGCCTCGGTTTTCTGGGAGGAAACGTCGGCGAGTAAGAAGTACACAGAAGTCGTACTGTGGAGGGAGGACGACAACAGGATGACTATCATTCAACCAAAGGTACACTTTACTATTAGATTATCATGAGGCACACAAGACATCAGCCTTATTTAGAAATAACTCAGGGTATAAAAGCTGCTTGATTTTCTACTATATTGGTCAGTGGATTAGGCCTAACTGTTAACATCTGTGTCCATATTATAATATCACCAGGGTCCATAATATCGTCACCTTGAGAAATAGTGTGCTTAAAGATATTTTTACTGCAACATTACTGCAACATACCCTAGGTATGTACATTTGAGGTGAGCAGGAGTGCATACCAAAAGTATGTTGCAGTAAAATTATCTTTAAGCACACTGTTTCTCAAGGTGACGATATTATGGACCCTGGTGATATTATGGACACAGATGTTACATGTCATATTCATGATATTGTCAACTTGGATTAGGCCTAACGTTACATGTAAGGAAAAAAAAAAGTTTGTGTTTCCTGTTTCCTGATCAACCCTAGGAAAAACTGCCGACACTAGACTAGTAACTGCAAGGGACATACATTTTTCAAGCTGATCAACCTTTTTTAACTCCATGATCTGATACCTGAGTGCTAAAATGTTGTACAACTGGTTTTCTAACATTAACACTAAAATTGTCCTCATGCAAGTTTTACTTTAACTGTAATGTTAAATTCATGATATAAGTTGTACCCCTATAAGATATCACTGAAGTCTAAAAAAAAAAGAAAATCCCTACCTACCAACCCTATTTTTTCAGGACTGAAACAGGAAACAACATTTTTTTCCTAGGCATCGATATATTTACCTTACGTGAGTGATCGCCATGCCATTGTGGCCAGCTAGTGGTAGGCATGAAAAAGGGTGACGGTTGATTTGCCTTCGTGTCCAAATAATTTGCATGTAACATTATATGATGTCAGCAAAAACAGCCTTGTATTCAGTCAATCGTGGTTTTGCCGAGTTCTCTTTGGGGCTGCGGAAGCTCTTCCCTGCCTGACTCTGAGCTAGGTTCCCCAGTAGGTTTCGCACAATGGGAGTTCATTTAAAGTTATAATTAAACTCCTGCAGTGTAAAACTCCTACAGGCGCAAAATTGAGGTTGGAAACTTGTGTAATAAAAATTTAGCGTAGAGCGTTGTTGGGACCCCCCATGCAGGCCCCCCTGTATCTGTATAGCCGGTATAACTGGCCTTTGTTACAAAACCACCATAAGCTGGCTACATTACACTGAAAGACTTGTTACACTTAACCTTTGAATATCTAAGCCTAAACAAATTTAAAGCTAACTCTGCAGAGCTGGGACTTTGTACGTGTTGTGACCTCTTGACAGCTTGTGTACTTCCAGAGAAACTTGCTAGATGGCGCTGTGGTATCATCTTCTGTTATCAGCAACAACCAGTCCTGGTAAAAGGATACGAGATATTGGGTATTTTAAGTAGCATGTGATCTGACTTCACTTGTAAGTGTAAGTCTTTGTTAATGTGTGGGTGAATGTTAAAATTGGTTCCATTTGCCCTATCGTATATATGTTATGTTTTGAGGTTCCACTGTTCCAGTAAAACATTCTACAATTCCTATGTCCAATAATATGCTATTACAGTTCTCCAAAATACTGGCAAGTAATCGCAATTCATCAGTCTTTTCCTGTTGATACTGACAATGTGATTATCTAGTACTGTATTAGTTCACTTGTGTAAAACAAATTTTGAACTTTTAATCAAACCACTGCATTGGTAGATGGAAAACAATGCAACTAGGAAGAAAAGGACTTTCCTCAACTGTTGGGAGCAAAATATGAGCATTTTTTAGTTGATTCAGAACCAGAAGTTTCTCCTTTTTTTTTGCAAATCAGAAAAAATGAAGAGGCGGATCCATGAACCAACAAATTAAATTGGTGTGGCCTTAACATAATTTCCATATATAACTATATGATGAAAACAAAAACAGTGATTTTTACTGAAGTCAATACTGATGCTACATCTAGTAATCAATAGAATGAAAACATCCTATTTAGAAGCAGATCTCATTCAGAAATCAAAGCCTTTTCAAGCTTTGTGTAGAGAACAGGCTCAAAGCTTCACAAACTTGACAAGTGCCAGGTTCAGAGGGGAGTATTGAATGCTTATAGAAGGATTAACAACACACAACCCTTGGAAGTCAGGGAACAATAGACGATAAACCGGATAGTGTACATGTGTGAGTGTGTGTAACTTTTTTTGACATGTTTGAACACAATTTCATGATATCTTGTGAAATATAGCCATAATCATATGTACATTTTTCATGTTAATTAAAACCCTTGTGCCTTGTCCTGCGGGACCCATATATATATATATGGGTTGCACATACAGTACCATCTATATACAATGTATTGCCCAGTATAGGTACGGTTTTGGGATATATCTCGTGCAACGCCTCACACCGCAGCGAAATGCAACAAATTTTAATTAATGCAGAAGTAACTACACCACAGTGGGGCAAAAAACTCAAGGGTCTGTGACCTGATTAAGACTTCAAATTATTTGAAAATATTGTGCAAAAATTGCCAGCAGGACAAGGGTTAACTAGACAATACCACCAATGGTCAACGACAACAACTTGAATATAAGGGTTACAGTATAATATTTCATGAGGCAAATGAGGTAGAACCTTGTACTTGCACATGTACCTATTTCCTCACCATTTGACATGCGCTATAGTCCTGGGAGCATATCATTATCCAAAGCTTTGACCTTGTGCATTAGAACGTGACTTGACGCCAGTCTCCAAGACCTGTAAATCTTGATATATTCAGGAATGGCATCTTACGCACGTACGCTATTCGACGTACGAACGAAGATATCCCAGCCAAAAAAGGATTTCAAACGTGCTAAGCCATGAGCCAACAGAATCTGTTTTAAGAACTTACGGTAAATATCGCAGTGAGCAGAATTGTGACATGGATATCACTTGTCATAATTCTTCCTGAAGTAAAGTAGAACCACAAAATGGTCTGTAGCCAAACGGATATCTGCGGGCCCGCATGCCCTTTTCCATAGAGCGTAATCGGCCATTTTAATTCTATGTAGAGCGTAATTAGCGCATTTTGCGTAGAGCGCAATTCGTTGTTTTAATTCTACGTAATATGATGTAGCTACCCGGAATTTTCGTAAAACGTAATGGAGAGGCTTCTTGAATTCAGCATAATACATAGCCAGCTCACAAAATTTAGCGTAGAGCATTGTCAGGACCCCCATGCAGGCCCTCTGCTGTGGTCTATGTACAGGTGCAGGTACATGTGTATCTGATAGGGGGAGCCTGTGTGCTAAAGTGTTTCACACATGTAGGTGTTTGAGAGATTTTCTTTTTGTTGCAAAGAAACAGAAAAGTGCTTGCTTTTTCTGAAACAGGAAAGGACTGGTGTGTCTATTCTGTTTCTTTCTTTTTTTTTCTGTTTTTTTACACATTATCTCAGCATTGACAGAAAACCTGGAAGAAAGAGATACAGTATATAGAAAATGATTTTCGTCAGAATCAGAGAAAAGATTTCTCTGTGGCATAGTACAATGTATTTCTGTATTTTTTCTTCATCATAAAGCAAAATGTTCATGACATAGCAATTCTATAACTGTATAATTATCAAACAGTATATCCTATTCAAACATGATCTGAGGTGTTAATAGTTATGAGGTTTAAGTAGTTCCAACACGAAAAGAAAGAGTCACCATAAATTTTTGATACATAGCATGTAACATTACATCTGATGAAGGTGAACATGTTTGACTGAAAATTCATGGTGAGTCTTTCTTTTCGTGTTGGAACTAAGGCTTAAACTTTGGATTCTTCCAACACAGATGAGCTTTCATCCAAATACAACTGATCTTAGGTTTGTAAGTGAGTCACTTGAGTGTAAGTGGCATCATCATGTGTGGAAGTACAGAGGTAAGGGATACTGTCAAGTGGCAGGGTCAGTGGCAGGCCCTGCTCTATAAGTACACATTGTACAAACACTGGCCACATTCCCCTGTCATATCTGACGCCAGCTCCGGGGTAGAGAGCACAGCTTGGAGTATCAATGTTAGCATACTTGATTACCCAGCCTACTGGCTGTAACAGGAGCTGTGTGGAGGATTGAACCATAGCGCTCCCCTGTCAGAGATAGAACTGACAACACCAGCTGACAGGAGGACAACCCTCCTAAACAAGGCGGATACCCTTTCCAACAATCGTGAGCGGTCAGCTATTTTGGCGGGAAGAATCCCGGCTATTCTGGATGGGAGGAGGGCTAGTTAGTTTTGTGGGGCTTTGCTTTTCAAAGTTTGCGCTGACCCTAGTTAGCTGTGATTGAATGAATGCGTGCCCGCCCCCCAAATTAAAATATCAACCCCAAACTTTCGCGCTGGGCACACAGTTAAACAGAGCTTGTCACGCGATGTCCCCAACACCAAGGATCAAGTAGGGGACATCATCAGAGCTGGCCCAGAGGTTTACTGCCGACCCCAGGCCCTTCCTCTGGGTCTAAAATAGAAGGAAAGACTTTGGCTGGGCTGAAATCTGCTGTCATTCACTTCCACACAGCACAAAGGAACAGTCATTACATACATGTAGTCACCGGGCAAAACATGAAAGATGATTATGTTTCTAATCCACAGAAACTAGCTATAACTACATCCTCTTCTTATATACTTTCACAGTGCTCTGTTTTGTGACAGCTACACCTCTTGCCCTAGCCTTTACAGTGGTCAAATTCAATGGTCAAGGTCAAAGTCTTAGCAGATTCTCAGTCTCTTGAAGATCCAGGCTCTTGAGATGTTGAGTGATTTGTAGGAAGACCCCCAGGTTCAAGTGTGTGCTTGTGTGCCCACTTGTGTGTACTTGAAAGTGTTGTTCTGTCAGACACATACACATGTGGACAGGTGTGTACAAGTGGATATGGTATCATATACACTCATGGGAATCAGCTACATATAGTGTAATAATGCATACATAACTGACAGTAATTATAGCACATGTTCATTGTACTTGCAGCATGTCCATGTATGTTTAGAAAGTAACACTTTTATTTC